AATTTAGAAACTACCTTGTTGAACAAAATTTAATTAACCCCTCATTAAAAATTTACCATGAAACCCCACATAAAAGATTAAACAATATTTTGTCCTGGATAGAATTTCACGTAAGGTCAACATTTTACGGCTGGAATGAGGGATACTATTTTCATTATATCAATGATACATTAGATCTATTAGAAGATGTAAATAAAAGAAATGTTGATATAATTAATAAATATTTGTTCAAAGTTAACGAATATATTAAAAAATATAATGTAAAATATTTATGGTGTTTGATTGACCTTGAAGAATATAACAGAAAATATTTAGCATATTAGTTTTTCTTGTAGTAAATATTTTATCTAAATAAATAAAATAAAAATGTAAATATAATTGTTTATTTAATATAATTTAAATTCACAATACAAGTAATAAAATTGAACTTACATTTTGTTTTTGAGTATTGAGAATTTTTTGTGAAAAAAATTTGTAAAATAAATTTTAAAACGAGTAAAAAAAGAAGAAATAATTTTGTTCAAATTTATTATTGTAAAGAAATTGCCAGAAGTTTCTAAAATTGATTACAAAAAAATTATATAATCTGATTAGTAATATATATAATTTTTATTGGTTCAATATTTTTCTGTAAGTTCCTTTTTTGGTTTTATTATTATTTTATTTTTAATAAATAAATTTTAAAATTAGAATATTCTGTAAATTCTTTTTTGGATTTATTATTGTTTATCAAAAGTAATATGATCATGTTTGAATACTTATAAAATAATTCATTCTCATTTTTTATTTAACTAAAAAAATATGGAAAAATCAAAAGAAGACCTTGAAAAAATATACGAACAAATGCGAAAATTAAAAAAAGAAATAATAAAATTAAATGATTATGAATACCTTTCATCTCTTTGTCGACTTACATTTGGTGATATAGCAGATATTATCGAATGAAAATTAATCAATGAAGAAATGTGGTTCTTTGTAAAAAATTATGGTAGTGGACCAAAAGATTTAAAAGACCTTATTCCATATAATAAAAGATTTGTGGAAATGTTTATTGCAAGATTTCCTATGAATCGTGAAAGAATTTTAGCAAAACTTGATTCTTGTCCCTTTACATTCGATAATTAAAATTTATTAATGTTTTTTTA